AGCTATTGAAAGCAAAGTATTTCCCACATACTTCTTTTTTGAAGGCAGACATTGGCACCAACCCGTCTTATACGTGGAGGAGCATCATCCATTCTCAGCCTTTATTGGCAGCAGGGGTTCGCTAGCGGGTTGGATATGGTGAGAGTATCCGGATTGTTGATGATAAATGGATTCTGTAGACACTCCATTTTTGACTGTCCTCAAGACTTGGACGTCATCATTTGAACACTCGATGATCATCCATGTTCGTGTTCGTTTTGAGTTCCCGAAGGTCTCGGTCGTGCGCCTTGCCTCAGGATCTCTTAACTTGTCTGTTCTGTGCTTGGTTGTGGACCAAGAATTTGTTTGTTTTTGCTTCTGAGGGAAGAGAATGGCTTGTTGGTCATCCCCATACCTCACCGGCCTTGGCTTGAGGCCACCGGCCCTATTTTGTTGCTATCGACCATTGGTGATGGCCGGTCGGCATTGTTTTTGGTTGGCCGGCCGTTTGTTTGGTCAATCGGCCATATTTTCTGGCCGGGACTTCTTTTTTGCCTTTTTTTAGGCATTGTGCATGCTAGCTATGCCAGCTGGAGCACACATACCTGTCCTTCATACACGTGTATGGAGGATTTGCACCCTTTGCACCCTTTTGCTCTAGCTTCTTGAAGAAGCTTGAACCCTTTGCCCTAGCTTCCTCAAGAAGCTTGAACCTTTGTCTTAGCTTCCCCAAGAAGCTTGAACCTTTGTTCTAGCTTCTTGAGGAAGCTTGACCCCTTTGTCTTGGCTTCTTCAAGAAGCTTAGGCCCTTGCTTTGTTTTATAAAAGGGGGCCTCCCTTCTCCTTTAGAGGGGTTGAGTAAAAATCAGAGATATATATCACATATCTCACTCCCTCTCTATATCTTCCTCTCTCTCTTTACATTTGTGTGTGGAATAGTGTTCAAAAGTGTGTTTTTGTTCTTATTTTTGCACTAAAGCACCTAGTGTTACACTATACCTTGGCTATTGAGGTGTTGAGAGGTTGTTCTTGGTGTTTTTGAGTTGGTTTTGATTAGAAGGAGGTGCTGAAGTTGCTGTTCTTGAAGAGTTCTTCAAGGGTGAGAATTACTTCTTTTATTCCCCATTTTGCCTAAAGCTTTTAGCCTATCTTGCATGCTGTTTTAAGCTTAGTGTATAACTAATAAAAGTTCTGTATTTTCATGCTTAAGATGTTTGTTTAAGGTTGCTTTTGGGTTAGGGGTTGTCTACCCCCTCTTAGGCCTTGTTTGGCCTCTTTTTGTACCTTTGTTGTTGAGCTTTGGTACCTTCGTGTATTGGCCTTCTCACCACTGAAATCCAGAGGATTTTCAGTGGTGAACAAGTGGTTCTAAGGTCTTGTATAAGGGAGGGACACCCCTCTCCCTTTGAGTCTCCTTTGCTTACATTTAGGGCTCACCATAGTAGCATGTTGGCATAGCTTTGTTTGGCTTTATTTCAGAGGGCTTTTGGTGTTATTTGATCATATTATACCTCTGTTTTTGGTCAGATTGTTAGTCCATTGCATGCATAATACACTTGCCTTGCATTCCTCTATTTTGCCTAGAAATGCATCATGCATTTAGACCACCATGCTTGCATGTTTTGATTTAGCTTTGTGAAGTTTTTAGTCATGTTTTACCATGTTTAAGCTCTGATTGGTGTCGATTTGGTCACGCTTGCCATGCTTTGTATAGCCACCTTGCATTTTGACTTGTTAGCCTTGGATGTGTGAGTCTTAAGCATGCTTCATTTGGGTTATTTCAGTGATTTGGAATCACTTCTCATGCCATTTCAGTCCATGTTCCATGCTCGTATGCTTGCAGTTAACACCCTTTCAATGCTTTGAAAAGTTATTGTCTTATACTTCATGCTTAAGCCATTATGCATGTCTCTTTGTTTAAGTCTTCGGGCTGCCATATCAATGGGTTTTGGGGCTTATTTTGACTTGTTTTAATTCTAACTTCATTAGTCTAAGTCATTCCATGTTCGGTTATAAGAGGTGTAGTGCATTTGCCCTTTTAGGCCTTGTATGCGTTTTGTTTTGTGCCTTTCTTCATAGCATGTTTTGGCTTTGTTCCATATGAGTTTTAGCTTCATTTTGGTTTGCCTCGGGACTGTTTTAGGTCGCCTCGACCATTTGGGGCTTGGTTGACATAGTCATGGTTTAAGTCCCATAGCCAGTTTTGAACTTTAACTCCATTAACATGCCATGTTTGCATTGTGTAGTCGATTTGGCGTCATCCTTCATGTGATTTCAGAGTTTATTTGTAATGCCATATCCTCATATTTATTATATCTTGCTCATGTTTGAAGGTTGTGCATCGTGGCCTAAATTGATGGACCAACATGTGTGCATGTTTATCTTGCATTTTGGTGCCTTCATTTTGGTATTTTGGCCACCGTTTTGGGATTAGCTGAGGTCTTCCCATTTCGGTTTAAGCCCATCTTTGCATATAGTTGCATGTTTGACATGTTGCATTTCTGTGTTGTTGCATGCTTGCATTATACCATGTTTGCATGTTTATTATATTGCATGTCATTTAGCTAGTTGCATCACATAACTTTGTTGCATACTTGGTGTGTTTGTGTTACATTAGCTTAGCTTGCATGTTTGGTCACATTGCATTGCATCTTGCATGCTTAGCACGTTGTACATTTGCATGTTTAGGTTGCATTGCATTTGGCATGCTTTGCTAACTTAGCCTCATATTGCATACATGAGCCATTTTGCATATTTGAGCCATATTGCATACATGCATTGCATTGTGTTTGGTTTGGGGTGTCAAACCAAACATAAGGTACGAGTACTTAAAGTGACGAAACACGTCTCAATCCTCGGTCGCCGACACTCTTGATCTCAACATGATAGAGTGTGTAGCATTCATTTGTTTTCGTTGCATTCATTTTACATTGATTTTCAAACTTGGCACCTTTAGCCATAATGTATCGAAATGCGTGATTGGTGGCCCGAGGACCGAGAGCCATGCTCCCTTGAGTTCATTGCATAATAGGGAGAGTGGCTATGCACACATTGCCTTGAAAATACTTTGCCATGCACTGTCTGTCCTCTACTGCAGCAAAACCAGTGTTCTGCAGGAAGGAATGGCCGGTCGGCCACTTTCAGTGCCGGCCGGCTACAAAAGTCTAGCCGGTGGTTCCACTTTTGGTCGATAACTGTATTCTAGTGGTTGATGGACTTGCATTATGGCCGGTGACATCCCACAGTGCTATGAGAGTGTTCCAAAAGCATCACAAGTATTTTCACAATTCTCAGAGGTGCAGAACAATGCTAACAGAGGCAACAGTGGCATGGCAACGGGTTTCCGAGCGAGGCGAATTGAGCATGCATGCATTTGACCCTCTTCCCGAGGCAGCTTTAGTGCTTCAATAGCTTAATTCATTTGTTAATTAATTAAGGTTTTGTAATATTTAATTACCTAGAGTAGTTACTTATTTATTTGGTTTGTATTATTCTTTTGGCCCCTCCGAGAGAGGGTGAATTTTGTAATAAGCGCGCGTGTGTGTGATGCATGTTTTCTAACCCCACGTCTTTCTCCCTTTTACTTACCTGCTTTCAATGGTTAGTTTTAGGGCACATTTCAATTAGCATACTTATGATAGCATGTTTGCATACATTCATTCGTATTGCACGCACCGGGCTCAGCGCATCATATTAACTGCATTGTATTTCAAATCCTGTATGAATACATGTATCAAGTTGCATTTCACATGACATTTTAGAATAGCCGAGCCTATCTTAGTTACATTTTGTATGTGTTGCATTAGCCATTGCTAACATGAACTAGAATCATGCATTTGATTACTAAATAGTTTCCTGTTTTGACTCGGAGTACTAGGTAAGCATTTATGCTTTAGCATCTTGCATGTGTGTGAGTGTTAACATGACAGCATGCTTGCCATAAGGCTAATTGCTTATGTGATATAACTGCCTGAATGCCTATGGGTGAAGGTTGGGTTGCTTGAGTTGGAATAATTCGTCGAAACCCGTGTTTTAGCCTACTTGCGAGTAGCAAACCAGAAACCATTTCCAAACAAACGGATATGCGATGTTTTTGTTCCAACTTAGGCAATCCAGTCTATACTTGTATGCTGTGTGCATCACATAGTAATTCTATGGCTAATAAACTGAAATAAGAGTACATGTATTTTCAAAAACTCGATATCATGCTTAGTAGTGGCCAACCTTGATCGGCGATGCGGGGTGCTCATGAAATGACCTTCCCAATCGTACCCAAGTTCCCGAGCTGAGGCAACTTTGGTGATGACGGACACGTGGCCTTAGGCAATGAGTTCAGGGTTTCCTAAATCCCCCAAAATAAAATATTTAGGTAGCGACTCTGTATCTGGCAAAGCAGTCCATGTTTGGCACTTCTTTCTTAAAAATCTGTTTTCCAAAATGATTTGTCGGATTTGGACTCTTTGGTGATTTATCGGTCTTGCATTGCACTTTGCGAGACTAGATTCAGAACCATGACTATTTGAGTCCAAACTGTAGCATGAGGCCCTCAGGGTGCGTCTACAGATTCCTAGGCCAACTACATTCCAGATAATTGCTCCACTATCTAATTTGCCTGCTGATTCCAATGTCAGTTTACTTATTGATCGTGATTGAAAATGTTGGAATGAGGAACTTATTCGAAGCAATTTTCTTCCACTAGATGCGGAGGTTATTCAGCAATCTCCATTAAGCCCAGATCTTCCCAGGGACATGCTGGTCTGGCACTATACGAAGCATGGGGCCTTTTCTGTTCGTTCGGCCTATTACTTACGCCGCAATATTATTAGTGCCGACTCAACGGAGTCTTCTGTGGGTAGATCATGTTGGGATGAGTTGTGGCAGAAAATTTGGCATCTTAATCTACCAAATAAAATTAAGGTGTTTGCATGGAAGGCGTGTAATGATATTCTACTGATAAAAATTTTGTTGCGAAGCCGACGAATTCCTATTGATGTAATGTGTTCTAGTTATGGGGTTGACAGGGAATCATTGATGCATTGCCTTTGTTATTGTGATATTGCGGGCCAGGTGTGGACTTTAAGTCCATTGAGGAATCTGGTACAATGGGCCCATAATCAGGACTTTAAGGAGTGGTTTTGGCAGGTCATGTTCCATGGGAATGAGTCTACTCTGGATTTGTTTGTTGCTCTGTGTTGGGGTCTTTGGATGCGGCACAACCAAGCAATCTTTTGTGATACCCATGCTTCGGCTGAGGCAACGGTGGCCATGGTTTGCAATTTGGTTAGTGATTTTGATCAAGCACAACAACGAATTCAGGGTCCATTGCTGAGAGAGAGAGTTGTTTGTTGGTGTGCTCCGGCGGAGGGTTGGTTCAAGGTTAATTTTGATGGGGCACGGTTCAAAGAATTGCAAACAGTTGGGGTTGGTGTTGTTATTCGAAACTCGATGGGTGAAGTGATGGCGGCAATGACAGAGCAATTACCGTTCTGGGTGGATGCCGACTGCGTTGAAGCATTTGCCGCAGCTAAAGCAATTGATCTAGCAACTGATTTGGGATTTTCAGATATTATTCTAGAGGGGGATTCTTTAAATATTGTCAAAGCTTTGCAGGAGGGTGTCGAGCTTTTATCAGAATATGGTCATCTTGTGTCACAAGTGGTGGCTGCTAGTAAATTGCTTCGGCACTTTCAAGTTTGCCATGTGGGGCGAATGGGCAATATGTTGGCGCATGGTCTAGCTCCGATGGCGAGAGGTTTGGACCACCAGCTCGTGTGGATGGAGGAGGTCCCGCAGGCCTTGTTTGAAGTTGTAGCTGTTGATGCTGCTTTTTAGTGTGCCTTGTTGCTATCTGTTTGTTACAATCTAAAAAAAAAAAAAAAAACTCACCGGTCAATTTGTTAAATAAATTTGATGCACGAATCATTAATATAATTTCTATCACCCTCACCTTCTCAAATTGTACCCTTTTGTTTACATCAATTTAAGTCGATGTTGATTAATGAGTTGGCAATTTATTTATTTATTTATTTTATTTTGTGTGTGTATATCTCTATTCTAAGGCCTCGTTTGACAAGTGATTTTTTTAGTTAAAAAGTTAAAAAGTCAAAAAATTATTAAAAAAATCAAAAGCCACCAACCTACACCAAAAAATCAACCCATGGGGGTGCCTCTCTTTTATAGCCAATACAATCCTAGTCCCAATAGGAGCCTGGCCCTAATGGACTTAGGATTACTGCTAATCTGGAACTTCCAGTAGGATTAGGATAAACTCTCTAAGAGTCTTATCTTTACCCAAACTGAAGTCTTCTCTCAATCTAGGACTCTTGTCCATATCCAAGTTGAGTTCCCTCTTCATTCTAGGACTCTTGTCCCTTATCCGCTTATATCGGTTTCCGATATCTTCGGAGATAACCTCGGCCTTGCCGAGATCACCTCGGTATCACGACCAGGACACGTGGCACCTCGGCTGACACGTCGGCGTCACCTTGCCACGTCTTGGTATTCAGAAAGTATATCCCCACAATTTCTATCACCCTCACCTTCTCAAATTGTACCCTTTTGTTTACATCGATTTAAGTCGATGTTGATTAATGAGTTGGCAATTTATTTATTTATTTATTTTATTTTGTGTGTGTATATCTCTATTCTAAGGCCGCGTTTGACAAGTGATTTTTTTAGTTAAAAAGTTAAAAAGTCAAAAAATTATTAAAAAAATCAAAAGCCACCAACCTACACCAAAAAATCAAATATTCCATTTTCTCTCTATTTTTTGTATATTTTTTCGTAAAAAGTCAAAAAGTCATCTCAAACATACTAATTTTTTTACATTATATTTTAACCAAAAAATCAAAAAACTACTAAAAAAACTTGTTTCCAAACGAGGCCTGTATCTTAAGAAATTTGTTATTGTGGGATGATAATGGTTCAACTCCATCCAAGTACTATTTTGCAAAGAATTGGCCACTGCCAATGACCTGTTTGCCTTTGCCTTTTTCAGGTGAAAATTAATTTGGGCTGGAGCATAGTGTTTTTATTATGGAAAATGTTATAGGTCTTAAATTTTCTATCAAATAAATGACTAAATGTCTCACATGGGTGTGAACTCATTTGAGACATTTGATCATTCTTTTGGTAGAAAATTTTGTATCCCTAATATTATCTTTTTATTATTTGGTGAAAAGAGGTGACTAAAAGGCATGCTGTGTGGGTTACACATGGTGATGGATTCCACTTCACAACATGTTTCACATGCTCAAGTGTTAGACATTTGTCTGACAAAATTGCCAAGGATTCCACTTCACAACATGTTTCGCATGCTCAAGTATTAGACATTTGTCTGTTAAAAATTGCAAATTATTTGACGGGAAGGAGGATTACTACTTGGGCATCAATAGTCATCTATTGGTTAAGTATTTTTAGCCTCTGATTAAAATAATTAAGAAGTCAAAAAATTAACCCACTTCTCAAATGAATCCAAAGGAACAACCTTGGCAATTGTACAATGCATGTGAAAAAAAAAAAAAAAAATCATTTGTACAAAATTTGTATGTCCTTCCATGTCACTGCATTTTTAATTATTATATTATGTCTTCAAATTCTTTTGTCTTAAATTGTATATATAATTCAATGATTGAACATGTAATAAGACAAGAAAACAGAGGGATTTGTATGCAGAGGACTCGAGGTTCCAAAAATCTACTTTTCTATGGACGGGGATGGGGATGGGGATGGGGCTACAAAATGAACCAAACTAATTGAGTTTTACTTGTATTTAGTTTATTAAAAATTCGTTTGAGATTTGCTTATTAGGTTAAAACTCATTAAATTTTTAAGATTGGATAGAACAACCGACTACTCGCCTTGTTTGCAACCTTGCTGTTGACTACTCAAAATGCTCTAAGTAGTCCAAATAGAAAGAGAGGAGGAAATTACAAATCAGTGGCATCAGTAAAAAAATATTTACAAAAATGTAAAAAAATTATGATTTTAATTATTAATATTTATAATGTTAATAAATTTTTTGTAAATATTTTTTTGTTGATGCCACTTATGTGTAATTCTGTCCCCCCCCCACCCAAAAAAAAAGAAGAGAAATTCAGTAACATTTCAGCTTAATTGCAAATCTAAAAACAATTTCAATGGAAAGGGATTTTAAGCATATTGGATGATGAGGCATCTGCACCCCATACACCATCCTAGAATCTAATTTCAATAATCACTCCCAACTGTTGTTTACTTCCTTCCAATTCCAAGTTGTTGGTTTATAAAGATTTGAAAAGCAGAATCAGAATCAGAATCAGAATCAACCACGAGGGCTTTTTTTTCCTAATCGGACTGCACATTGGAATTCAAATGATAATTGCAACATTTCTCAGAGAAAGTCAGTAGTATGTGAAGGAAAAACATTGCAAAAACAAAATCAGAATATGTGGGACCCACATAGATGAGATTCACGTGTAAAATCTATATTTTATCTTTTATTCTCTAGAAAAATCATGGGTAAAACATCTTGTAAAAATCATCTTTATTTTATCTTTTATTCCATAAATTATCTCTTATTCTCTAAAGATCATGTGTAAAATCTACATTTTATTTTATCTGTCATCCCGTAAAAATCATCTCTACTTTATCCCTTATTCTATAAAATTCACGTGCACAATCTATATTTTATTATGTCTCATTCTATAAAAATCATCCATGCACTTTAATTTTTCTCAATTGATAAATAAAACACAACTTATTTGCTTGTCTATTTGTTTTCCTACCTGCCAAAACAAAAATAATTTTCCTAAAAAAAAAAACCCAAAACAAAAAAACAAAAATAATGAAAAATTAGAAAACACTCCATATTTTCATAACTTCTCATTTTTGTGCAAAATATAATTTTCAAGAACTCAAAAACAAGTGTTTGGAATTTCTTAAGAAGTTCATTATTTCAATCAAAAATATAAAAGAAAAACCCAAAAATAGATTTCACAAAAAAATTGTAATAGGGTGAAAAAAAACCAGAAAACAAAGCCACAAGTACATCTGTAAAAAATTCATACGCATATATTGAACAAAGCCAAGTAATTCCTGAATAGTAACATCATAAGTAGATAAATAAAAAATTTCCCTTCAATAATGAGTTCAATCAACTTTTACATTTCTTGAACTCCCTCTGAAAAAATGGACAAAAAGAGCTCTGCCGGTCTTAACAAAGCCGCAGATAACTTCACCGTACGTGCAATGAAATTGTATTTCCAAAAGTTATAACAAAAATTACACTAATCCCATATATAATAAAGTTAATATCTTAAACATCCCCAGTCCCCCTCATTCTTTTGCTCATTTCATAATTGCATTGTATAATTTTCTGGGTTTCTATTTTCGACAGTTATAATTGCTCAACGTGGTTAGTAATTACATCGGGACAAGACTGCGCTTGTAGAAGCTCTAAACGGTTGAATGGATGAGCAAACTGCAATATGTAGTCTTCATCTGTTGCAAACAATTGAAAAAAACAATAATTACTAATGAACATGAATGCTTTGATTAGTTGCTGAGAGAACAATACGAAAGAAAAACAGAAAAATAGTCTGGTCTCCACTTAGCAATCAAACAAAGTTGAAGAATAAAAGGAAATGTTTAAGGTTGGTTACTTACTGTCTTTGACTGTCCCATAGAGCCAGCATAACACCTCATCAGCAAAAGCCAGGCACACTCCTCCCTGCCAAGCGCCAAGCAATTTTATACATCACAAACAGAAAACGTGGTGTGATATACATACCAAACTTCTAAGCTGTTAATGAAATTGTAAATCATTTTGTAATCTAGGCAGTGAATATCATGATAGTTTCAAATAATGACATCAAAATATGTATCTGCATTGGCAATATATGGTCATATATCAGTACAAGAAGTCCAAATTCCCAGTAGGTTAAGTATTGGCTGTAATTTAAAATGCTAATGACTGAGGTCTTCAAATATAGGAGAATTAAAAATGATGCGGGCCATTCACTTTAAAATAAAACACCCACAAAGATGACATTTATTTACTAAAAATGGCATTGCCACATCATTCTTGTGATGTTTTTTGTATGAATTTTATGTATCAAATGGTATTTCCCTTTTGGTTTTTTGTCCAGTTGTGGCTAAGGGGCATAGCATATTAACACATTAATGTGGGTAAATTACACAGATTTTTCATCAAGTACGTAGAAAATACAATAAACCCTATAGTTTTGACATAATTAAACTCACCTCCCTTTTAGTAAGGTTAAATAGACCACAACTAACGCAAAAGATGTGAAAACACAAAAATAAACAAAACAAAATATATATTTTCGTGTAAAAGAGATGAACAACATCATTTTCCTATAAATATAAGTAACAAAATTATTGACAAAAATGGAGTTATTTGTCGTGAATTAATACATCAAGGGAGTTCAATGTAATTATGATAAAACTAAGGGGCTTATTGTATGTTCTTCAAACTATAGGCCTTGAGAGTCTAGAGGGAAGGCCTCATGCAAGAGCCAAGAGTAGGTCCATGGTGTTCAGGTGCAGGTCATGAGAAAATGGTGGAGCTGCAAGGTGACAAATCGCTGTCAGGATGGACATGATAGATGCTAGTTACAAAGTGGGCCACATGGTGGGCATGGGTGGCAATAGGAAAGCATAACCAGAAGACTGAGATATAAGAAAGTGGTTGAGAAAAGAGAGCGTATTACTAAAATGAACTCTCTCTATGGGTTGTTTTTAACTGGTTAAGGATATATGAATAAGAACACGTCATAAATTTAGAAATATGTGTTCCACAAGGATTCTGAATCATGAGTTCTTTAATTAAGCAAGATTATTGCAAAAAGCGAGGCACTGGAGGTAGTTAAAAGGCCATGTCTGAGAACATATAAACATGCAAACATGGGTTTGCAAAATGGAAAAAAAGCAAAAAATAGTGAGGCACGTGGAGCAAAGGGAGTAAAAGAAGAGAATTGTGGAAGTTTATGATTGTGCATTGTTCATAAGAATGTAAGGCAATAAACAGTTACCTGGTGCAGCTATAGAAGAAAGAAGACAGAAAGAAAGCCACTCCCTCCAATTAAAAACAGACCACCTTATCTTTATCTTTATGTTAGTTATCATTTATATTATTAGTTATCATAATCCTTCATTGTGCATCTTTAGAGATGTAGAATAAAGAAGAGAGAGAGACAAAGAACACCACAAATGGCCACAACCTTTCCCAACTCAAAATCTTATTGATCAAACTCATTATAATGCCTTAAGCATATATAGGCCATTAACCTTAATCAAAATAGAAAACTAAATCTACTATTATTTGGAAACACAATAAAAAATATCCTACCTAAATATTTATTTAAGATCCAAACCCTATTCTACTAGTCTTCCTTTTTTCCACTTTGTCCTTAACAATCTCCTTTCCTGTTCTTTTCTCAATAAAGACCGAAAGCATCAAAGTTTTAGCGCAACTGAAATCTTCCAAACTTGGATCTTCTATGATTTAACCCATTGAATAGTCAAGTTCTTAGTCCTCAAAGACTAGACTTTGTTACCCTTTTCGTTCACTGTCATGTCGTCAGCCAAGTTTGCTTATGTTTTATTGCATTTAGTGGCTATTTGATACTATCTTAAGCTTGTGGTAGTTTTGTTAATGGAAAGAATATTTGTTTATTGCCTTAGTTGGATGGACTTTTAATATCTTGTTTAGGATATTCATGCTTGTTATTTTTTTTTCTTCCCTGTTTTGGTAAGTTAATTGATTTTTAGTTCTAATCATCCCACATAAGGTTCCCAGATGTCTGCGAAACCCTAGGGGTTGCATTAACATGCCTCTACATTACCATGAAGTATGCCAAAGTCAATAAACCATATGTAAGAGCACTCAAGATCACAACATTGGATGGGAAAACAGAAGCTTTGGTCAGTAAAGATTATGTACCTGCCAATAGTTCTTCATTTTTACTCTCTGTGTTATGTCTTTGGTTCTTAGTCTCTCTGTGCGGACAAGTCGGCCTGCATCATCCCTGCATCAAGGTGAGATTATCATAAGGATACGCAAAAAAATTGTAAAGGAACCATACACATGAAAAGCACATGCAATTAGAAAAACAGTTTTGAAAAGAAAATTGTAAAGGAAGCATCGATGACAAGCCACCACATCCAAGAAACTGCACATGACAAGCTTGTGCAATTGAAAAAAGAGGGCAAGAGAAATGCCCTTTGTAAGAATTGTGAACGGTATAGTAAAGAACAAAAACAGATATAATAGCAACCAGGATTTACCTAAATCCTATACTAATGAAAGCATAAGAACAGATGAAATAGCACAAGAAGATTTACCTAAATCCAATAACAATATAAGGAACACCAGCTAAGAATGATTGGATCTGCAAAAAACAGAACAAAAAAATGTTAACCCTCGTGCCAAAGCAGTTAAACAAATCCAACAATAAAAAATATTTAGCAAAAACATTCCATCCACCCAACAAAACTTTGATAGTATGATAACACCTGAAAATCATAACAGCTATCATCCCAAATTTGAAATAGTTGATAATATATGGCTGAATATGATTTAACCACTCCAATTTTAATTGAAAAATGCTCATCATAGCTATCATCCTAAGTTTGAAGGATATGCACCAAACACATTGTAGAGCTGTACTTCTTTTAAATTCAATTATGTAGTAGTAGTACCAATCAGGATTCCTAGAACGCAGCAAACTAATGGGAATCATTGAATAATATGTATAAAAGACAGTAGAGTAACTCTCTGAATATGCAAAAATTATTGAACTTCCAAATGCGCAGTAATCTTGCAACATCAATCACCAAATGGTATATGCAGTGTTTACAGACACTTCTAAGAAGATGGCTCGTCGGACACTTCCTATCATCTGTCGGACACTCCTCTAATTGTTTTATTATTTTTTAAAAACAAGTTAGACAGAAACATCCTTCGGACACATGGAAGACACATGTCCATCACTTAAATAAACATGAAATTTATTGCAAGTTTGAACAAAAACCTATATATTCTAGGTGTGTAACCAATGTGTTGTGTTATGTATTTTTGGTAAATTGTCATGTCAGTGTGTCCATGTTCGTGTCGCGGGTCTGCACGTTTTAGTACAGTGTGAATACTGTCCCCAGTCAATCTGCACTTGCCATTATCAAGATTATTGTAAGCTTAAACCATTCTTTTAACTCTCTTGCTCTTGTGCACATGCGGGAAAATTCCAGAAAGAAAAGCATTGCACTAATTACTCCAAAAGCAGAGGTTGTCTTGGCAAAAAGTGCCTCTAAAATTGCAAATAACTTAAGTTCCCCTGATTAAGCTACTTAAAATTCTGATTTAATTAAATGGAGATTGCCTTAATAATTGTAACACTCAAAAAAGTAAGATAAACTACTCATTGTACAGTCGGGTGATTTATGAACTTTAAAAAAAAAACTTTTTTCTTCCATTCCCCATTGACACTATATTAACTAAAATTCCAAAACACCACATTATTCCTACTTTTGAACGGTACATTCCAAGTGTTGACGGTCAATGCTGTGAAAAACAATAACTGGTCATACATTGCTATTACTTATTGAGTAGAATTTCTCACATCCGTGGCGTAGGTGGACAAGAAAGATTGGGAAACAGGTCAACACCAAAAACTTGTGTCCCCAATAACCAATTTTGCCTTACAAAAAGGGACTGTAAATGGAAAAAACATAAAATTAATTTAGAGGACTGTGTCCACAAATATAATAAATTATCTATAATTCATTCCAATATAGAAGTACAAATAAGAACAAGTATAGCAGGCTTTGCATGCAAATCTGAGAAAAATAATAAGAGTCTCAGACATACATAGGCACATATTAAATGCCAAAACAATAAAGATACCGACTGCTAATGACAAAGGAAAGACATAAACCACCAACCAAAGAAAAAGTAAAGACATTCATAGTCAATCTACGAAGGAAATGTACCCAGAACTTGAGCAATTTCTCCCTCTCATATCTTTCCTCAGTATGATAATCCAACTGTGCATAATAAAAGACAAATCAGAGCAAGTCAACAACTTGACAAACAAAATGCGAAAAAGAAAAATGAAGCCCAACAAGAATGCCAACCTCTCGACTTGTCTTCAATTCCACATAAAACCTCCTTCCGTCATCAGTTGAATCACAGCAATCCATTTCAGCACCCATGAAAATACGATGAGCTCCTAATTTGGTTTTAATTACAGAACAAAATTCAACATTGGCATCAACATGATGTATCCCTTCTCCATCAGCTCTTCTTGGATCTTCAGTGGCAAGGCTCTCAAAACAATATCCCCAATAACATCTAATCAAACAGAACACAATTAAAAGGTAACAAGATATGATCAGGATGAACTCAATTAAAAGGTAACAAGATATGATCAGGATGAACTCAATTAAAAGGTAACAAGATATGATCAGGATGAACTCAAACCAAAACAATCAAGCAAAACACTATTCATATATACCTCAAAAAGTTTAGTAATGTTAGGAGTCCATCAAAGTACTATTTCCCAAAAATAAAAAAATAAATATAGAACAGCAAACCTTTAATAACTAGAGTTGATCAACAACAGTTACTGTACAAGACTTTCCACCCATCTTCCCTCTGACCTCTCATGCTTTTAACCAAAAAGTAATAAAAGATTTTTTACACAACCTTTACCATACAAACAAATTGAGTAATCTTTATTAAAAAAAAATAGAAAAAATATAATATTTACAAATCATGAATTCCTAATGACCCTGACAAACTACTTACGACTCTCATGTCATACCAACAAAACAGATATGGCAAAAAAATGCTGAAGAAGAAATAAGACCATCGCAGATGGGGGGTTCTGCATCCCAGGACCCAGACAACATTACAGCAATAACCATGTGGCCTTTCATTTCACCATCTAAAATTAGGAAGCCAACAGGTATATATTGGTCTAGTACCTCCGGCGATCCAGCTCACTTTGTGGCCTTTCTGGTAGTTTATGCACATCAAGATAGACAACCCCATTCCGTTTATGCACCCCCATTTCCCAAGGTTCATGCCTGATATATGCAGTAGCCAATATCTGCAGATAAAAAATATGATCAGTAAAAATGTTATTACCTATAGTTCACTGAACCAAAAAATCTGACAGATTGCATACTTAATGCAAGCAAGACCAATTCATAAAATATTAAACTATTCTCCAATGTACTTGACAAAAGAAAAGTAACAGAATTAAACATAAGTAATCAAGTACACCATGGTACCAGACATAAGAAAGCATTGAATTACTCAATGATATGTCCTTGTAAATACAATACTTGCCAACTTCCAAATAAATTTAGCAAATGTTTAGCTGAAGAGATGGTAATTTCCACTCAAAACACTAGAAAGTATATAACAAGTAGAGATTACCAATCAAAAGGATCAGCATTCAGCAGTTACCTTATTGAGGTTGTTACGATATGTCTGCCAATAATAAGAATGGGAGAGGGAAAAACAAAAGTCAAAAAAGAACAACCTACAGATAGTAACATTAAAAAATACAGTAAAGACACAGAGTCACCAGTACTAAAGCAACAACTTACCACAAAATGAATATTTTGAAGTGGGATATTTTTATTTCTTATGCAAGCAAGAAGGTCGCCAAAACCCTGAGAACCCAAATCTGAAATAAAGAAAAGCATAGGAGTTACTACTTACATCAGTCTTCGAAACAAACTTAAAGAAACAAAGCTCTAACAGTACATCCTTGCTACCTTTCTTCTCAATAAAAGTATCAAAACCATCATTCAGGTCAGCTCCAATATCTTCAGTAATAAGACGCTTGAAAAGCCTCTAATAATGTAAAATGCAGAGTGATGTAAATGAGCTAACAATCAGTATGACATTACCATTATTAGAAAACCTTATGGAGAGAATAAGATAGGAAAAAATACAGTGATATAAGGCTTTGGAGGCTTACCAAGCTGCGGTCATCAAAGAAGACATCTCCACCTTCTACCCGACTGTAGCAAGCTTGTTCGCATGGCTATTGTATCACAGATCAATCAAGATGCAATTGAAAGCACACCATACATAAGTAATCAAGACAGAGAGGGGACACATTTAAAAGTACCATCAAACAGCACAAAAACAGATTTTTGGCAACACATACTTACGGTTGTCATAAGGGAGCATTTTACTCGTACAAAATAAAAGATCATTATGCCAACCAGAAAACAACCAAACCATTAAACCTACGTACTCTTAAGAATCCATTTTCCTTCTTTATTTCCCCAGTATATCATTTCTTTACCATACCACTACAACAAATGCCATAAAGTGGACAGCAACATTGTAGATTCACATAAGTTAGCAAGATTCTGTACGGAAACTATCCAAAGGATATATATATAAAAGCTAGTTTTGCAAATGATACTTGCACATTGTTGGTATAACAGTCTTAAAAGCACTTAACATTCACATACTCAAAAAAGTAAAAACCAAAATATTTGTACCTCTTGAAAAGCTATGCATTTCCTCGATAATGTTTCTTCACTCTTTGAAAGCTTCAATTCAGAAACAAAGCGTTCATCATGACGAGCGTTAAAAAACTTTGAACCATGACCAAAGTTCTGCCTTTGAGGATAAGGTCCAGGTCGGGGAAGGAGGCCAGCGCCTCTATCATTTTGCCAACGACCACGCCCAAAACCCCCTCTTGTATGGTTGTTAGTATTTCGTATGGTAGGCAAAGCTGTGAAACACATTTTTACAAGTAAGGCAATAGATATAAGAAATAGAGAGAGAAAGAGAGAAATGCTATGCCATAAACAACATTCATACACCTCTTGCGCTTGCAGGAAGGTGACATTTAATGAGAAACAATTAACTGGACAATTGAGCTGAGATGCTTTGTGATTGCCTTTAATTTTTTTTTTTGTTTTTTGGAGAGTGGTCAAGGACAGAAAGATGAACAAAAATGATGCAAAGAAACAACTAAAATTAACACAACAAAAAACCACAAAAGCCAAAAGCACTGAGAACAAGCCGCCTATCCAATTCCCATGCCTCCACTCTAGCTTGCACAATGCTACTAGCACTAGCCTCTAGGTCTAGAAACCCAGTATGTATGATGCTTCCAACACCTACCCTTCCTAGCAACTCAGTTTGCTGTTATTCCGAGGTTCAAAAATAGAATTTTAAAATTGAATCATCATTTATAAGGTTTAAAGATTTAATGTACAATTTTAATTCCCTATGATTGGGTTGAATGATCCAGAGTGCTCCAGAAATTACTTAACTACAGTGATTCAATTTTTTTATAGAGTTAGTAACGCCCACTGCTTGTACCAAAAAAAAAAAAAAAAAATTGTTGGTAGTGCCCACCCAAACAAAATGCCCACTATAGCTGCAATCTGAAGCCATTGTCTTCATCAAGTAATGTGATAGCTCAGATGAAAAGTTAAAACATTGCGACACACCATGAAGGCGTGAATCAAAATAGGGAAAATTTCCATTCAGTGTATAATTTATTAAATAATTACAAATCAATGATAAACTTTATTAATACTAATAATTAAATTCTTAAGCTTTTTCATCAATTTGTAATATTTTTGTGAAAATACAACTGACAGGTAATTTACCCAATCAAAATCAACTTGTTACCTAGTTACAAACCAAGCAAACCAATCAAAAACAATCAAAACATGAAAATCCCCACTCAACCAAACAACACTTCACAAAGCCTATTCAAGCTAATAGACAAAAAAAACACAGACCCATCACAAGAAATTGCTTGAAACTAAAAGGGTATATCTCAATTTCAATTCAAAACCCTAATTACAAACCCCCATAAACCAATCAAAAAACGAAAATCACACATAACACTGAAGAAAAAAACAACTTACCGGGCACAGGGTAAGTACTAGTAGCAGGGGTTTTACAGTAATCTTCATTATCAGACCCAAACAGATCCTTATCTTCATTCTCATCATAAAAACCAGACCTCACTTCCCCATTCTCTTCTTCTTCTTCGTCACCGCTCGCGCTTCCACTTCCGCTTCCGCTACCGCTTCCACTTCCGGTGCCGCTGCTGCTCTCTCCTCCGCCACTCCGATTCGACGATGAAGCAGAGGAAGAAGACGCCGCAGAAGATGAGGACGAAGCTGAAGAAGATCGGTGTTGTTCTTCCTCTTCGTTGTTGTTGGCCTCGTCCCTGACTTGATGTTGTTCTTGTTGATCGTCGTCGTCGTTGTCTTCATCGTCTCCGAACAAGTCTATGTCATGCTCTGAGAAGTCCATTCCAATCTCTCTCTCTTCGATTGATTTCGATCCTTTCTGTGTCTCTGATTTTACCGCAGCTTTATATTGTGTTCGGGGAAACATGGACTCGGGGTTTGACTCGGTTTGGATCGGACTGAGTCAACGCGGGATAATAACACAGTGGAGGATTTGGATTTGGAGAGTTGCACGTGGTTGGTGGCATATACTGACAAAAAATTAGGGGTAAATTACAAATATAGCTTAAAGTTTGTTTAATATATAAATTAACTTATGTGTTTTGAAAAATGATAAATATCTTTTAATTAAAATTTTTTATTTAACAAAATTAATTAAAAAACTGAAATTTCTAATTATTCACCTTTACAATAATAAAATTATCTGAATTATTAATTGAAATAAAATTTTAACATTGTTAACAATTATTAATTAATTTGATAATTTATTAATAAAATGACATATTTGTTATGAAATTAAAAACCTTAGAGGGTATAATGTAATTTCAAAAATCGCAGGAGTAATTTGTAATTTAAGTAAACTTCAAAGGTGTGTTTGTAATTTACTAAAAAATTAAAGCTAAATTACAATTACACCGAGTTAAAAAATTAAGATAAAATAACAATTACACCCTTTAAAAGTGATACACATATCCATTAATATACTAATTAGTATATCAATATATATTATAATATTATGACTTTAAAATTATGATCCCATCTATTATACGACTAAGAAAGACCTAAAACTTTTTAAATTATACCATATCATCTGTTAGTATAATAATTAATATACTAATGGATACATATAACATTATTCTTATAATTTACTTAAAACACAAATTGCTTCTTGTAATTTTAGAGATTACGTTTCGTTGATTTAAATTTTTAATCGCATTACAAAGAATTGACTTTATTAATAAATTATTAAATTAATTAATAGTTTTTAATGATATTATAACTATATTTTAATTAATAATTTATGTAATTTTATTATTATATAAGGGAGTAGTTATAAATTTTATTTATTTTTATTAATTTTGTTTAAAAAAATTCTAACAAAAATATATTTATAATTTTTAAAATTAAAAATAGTATTTTAAACAAACTTTAAAGTGTGTTTGTAATTTATTCAAAAAATAAAGAGTTAATTACCTTTTAATAAGGTGGTGTTTGGGGAGGTGAAAAGTAATATTTACAAAAAGTCAATCAGTGTGTTTGGTTTGAGTTTTTTAAATTAAGTTTTTTGAAAATTGACTTTTTTAATTTTTGTATTTTTTTATTTTTAGTGAATATTTTTTAAATTTTAATTTTTTTTACTTTTTTAGATACACCTTACTTAGATATATCTAAAAAGTAAAAAATTTGTGAAAAAATATTTTAAAAAATTAATAAATACATAAAAATACAAAAAAAAATATACTGAATTTTTTGTATTTTTTTTTGTATTTTTGATATTTAATGAATTTTTAAAAGATTTTTTTTACAAATTTTTTACTTTTTAAGTGTATTTATGTTAGGGGTGTCTAAAAAGTAAAAAAATTGCTTAAAATATTAAAAAAATTCAATAAAAACAAAAAAACACAAAAAATAAGAAAGTAGAATTTTCTAAAAAATGTTTTTTTTATAAAATTTTTAACACTTTTTTTTGGTAAAAAAAATTTAAAAATTTATTTGAAAAAACAATTCTCAAACACTCTGCCCTATTTGGTAATAAAGACTTTAGTTAAAATAGACAATAAAGATTTAAAAAACATATATTAAAATAGTTAGTAAGACAAAATGTCACATCTTACTCATACATATCAATGAATTATTTTTTTTTCTCTCACAACCATCACTTCAACTACAAAAAAAAAAAAAAAAAAAAATCACAAATCATCCCAAACACAATATTTTTCCATCTCATAAAATAGTCAAAAAAAACAATTAAAATAGTTAATTTCTCATACGAGACCTAAATATAGGACTTATACCATTTTGAATCTTAACGTTTAAATTATATCAAATCTATAATATATTAAAAATATTTTGATTTCATAACCTAAATCCATTTGTATATTGACAAAGGTATTTTTTTGAGCATATTTTTGTTTTTAGATCCGTTTGAATTTGGATTATCTTGAAAAGCAAATATATATATATATATATTATAAAAAATTACCTAAAAATTAAAAAAAAAAACAAATTTTTTTAAATTAATTTTTTTTTAAAAAAAAAACTAACAAACAAATTAACTTTTTATTTGAAATCACTACTAAAGGTTTATTTGGGAAGTAATTTTTTTTAATGACTTTTTGACTTTTTTTTTCATGTAAATAAGAATGAATATATGACATTTTAGGATAAATGAGAACATATCTTTTACATTTTTTATATGAGTTGAAAACTTTTTGGTATTATAAAAAAATAGTAATGACGTGGTTTATTTTCTTTTCAAATCTCTTCACATTTAGAGATATAGAAAATGCCAATCATAAAGATAAATGAGTTTTTTTTTTTTTTTTTACTTATTCAAACAAATTATCTTTTTTAAATCATTGAATCCAAACGAGTTGTTAGTGTTTAGATTTAATGTTGATAAAAAATAAAGAGTGCTGCTATTAGTATCCTATCAATTATTTTGGACTTCTCATTTCTTTGGGAGAGATTTGGTGATAGACCCCTCAGTGTCTAACTTGTCCTTGAAAATGACAAGAATTATATGGATCATTTAAAAGACTCCTAATATTTTAAAACTTGTTTCTTTTATTATAATACCCTCATATATATATATATATATATAATCTTGTCTTTGTCTCGCTTTTATCACTGTTGCTTTCCATCGGTACCACCGCCGCTCACCATGGAACTCTTTCTCTACCGTCTTTATTGCCACCATCACTCGTCGCATTCACAACCTTAGATCAAAGATCATTCACAGCCGTTGTCGCCAGAAAATGACGGTTCGCGACGGTTCGTGTAACAACCCCGACGTCTAATTAACGCTAACCCATGATTAATTATGCATAATAAGATCTTGCATTCATTACATGTGTTATGTGTTATATGAGTTTCTATCTGTTTTGTGTAGGAATATCTGTCTTTGATTTTGTTTTATTCTGTGAATCGAAGGGCTTAACGGCATCCGATCATGAAATTGACTTGGTATACGTGTTATTTGGAATTTTTGGGAATTTATGGTAGGTTCAATTGAAATTCGATTCGAAATGATTAAATTCGAATTATTTAATGCTTATTAGATTATTAGTAAGTTAATTAATTAATTTTTGATCAAGCCTATATAAGGCCACTCCTACCATTTCCTATACACTTTTACACTGTCATTCCCTCATCTTTTGAGTTCAAACGTGAGAGAAAAGAGAGAGAAGGAATACTTGATTTCAACTAGAGTATTGAGGAAATTAGAAGAACTTGGAAGCTTGGCTTAGAAACTCAAACAATTAGCTATCTAGCATTCAATTGAAAAACCAAGGTAAGAACTCAACCATTTAATTATGTAATTGAAATAGCTATTGTTATTTCATGTGAATTGAGTGATGAATTACAAGAATTGAGTTAGAATTAGAGAGAAATGAACCATATCATGCATGCATGCCTATCTCATCATAATTTGAAGTTGTTTTTAAAGAATTCCCTCTTTCATGTCCTCATTTTGACCTTGGTTTGAGAATTCAACATATTTTTAAGTTAGATACCTCATTGGATCATGTTTTGGAAGCTTGGAACTTACACCTTTACATGCATGATGTATATAGTTATGTTTTCAAAGAATTGGGTTTGGTTTTGCATACATCACATGCTCTTGAACCTTGATTTTGTGGAATTGATTTTGAATTCTCCATATTTTCCAAGTTTACAAGAGTTTCCTCAAGTTTTTGGCCCAAGAAACCACAATTTGCAGCTTTGGGGTTGAATTTGAAACTTGGAAGCAAATCTAGAAAATTTCAAAATTCTGTTTCCATGCTTGAGCGACCGTTCCTGCGCTTGAGCGACCACCTTCATTTTCACACTTCCGCTTAAGTGACCAAAAGTTGGCTTAAGCGTAAAATGTATGCTTCCAGAAGTTTGCACGTTTTGTAGACTGCTCGAGCGACAGAAGTTGTGCTCGAGCGAGGGTATGAGTCTCACGCTTGAGCGAGCGTCGAGCGGAAAAATCAAGGAACCAGCACTTTTGCAAAAGTTTACAGACCGCTTGAGTGACAGAAGTTGTGCTCAATCGACCACTCACATTTTGCATCTTCACTCGAGCGAAGGAAGTTGCGCTGGAGCGAGGACCCTGTTTTCAACAAGTTTTGTTAAGTGTTTTCAAGTGTATTTAAATAATGGGGCACTTAATTTATCAATTTAATCAGTTTAAATTGACCAGAATCAATTTTCAATTAAATTTCACTGTAGGCTCTAAAAATTATGCCAATCACAATGGCGTAATCAATTTCGGGTTCTATGGCCGATAAGGCCCTCAATTTAATTCCAAAACGGATTATTCAAACAGATATTCCTACGGTGAACAGGTAGAATTCCAAAGTCGCATATATTCACATAATGGCACACAAAAATCATATCAAAACATATAGTCACATACGTATTAGGGACCAATTAGCATACTACGGAACGGGGGTATTACAGTATCTATGTAGGTCACGCGCCACAAGATATCTGAATTGCCTACTCTGTCCGTTTACTTGGAGCCATTTATTATCTGTGAGTAATAACTTTGTAAAACTATGTTCAATTTATAAGTATTTTCTGAATGATATAAGATGATCTGTTTTTTGAAATATTATTTTCTGCACGAATGAATGGTTGTCCAATATTTCTGAAATGTATTCGTGGCATCATTAGTTTCAGATGACATCTGTTATCTGTTATGTATACGTCCCAATTATGGGCCAACTGTATGTCTCATGAGCCAACTATTATGAATCTTTCTGTATACGTTTCATTTATGGGCCAACTGTACGTCTCATGAGCCAATTGTACTGTCTCTGTGCACGTGAGCCAACTGTATGCCTTTATGGCTGTCACTTTATGGGTTAATTGTTTCTATTGCTGCTAATGAATGTACCACGT